TATATATAAAAATTTCATTTTAGAATTTGGAAGAGAAAGGTACTCAGATTATATCCTATTTTCAACTGGTTCAAAAGTTTTGAGAAGAGACAGGCAGATAAATATATTTTCTTCCATTTTTAGAAAACCAACTTAGAACAATATAGAAAGGGATTTTTCACTGGCTTTTACTGTCAGTAGTACAGTTTTATCTACTGCCCCACATTCTCTCAGGCGATTGCAATGTACACGTGACACTTCTTAAAGAGTGAACTTTGCAGACTACCTTGAAAAGAACATTTTTCTGATGGGTAGCCTAAAAGATCCCAGATAAAGCCTAGAATGGCGACTTCACCTAATGTTTAGTTCCAATGAGATTCATCTCTTGCATGCTTTATCACAGGTAACTGTTCAAGAATTCACTCTTAAAAGTAATTTTCATCTGTGTCTAAGTAATTTGATGTCAGTCCTTTTTACTTCCTTCTCTGCCCCATAATGAATATTTCCATATCCAAGAAAGTAAGAATGGATATCCATTATCATATCTTATCATGCTTGCCCAGATCAATTGTACTTTTCCTATACAAAGTCTTTACCATGTTTCTTCCATGTGACCCTTCATAAAGGACATTCCTTTGATAAGCTAATGAAGCTGCCATCCTTTCAGGTTTAATCTGATCTCTGGATGCATATACACTGTAATTTCTATAGAAAACTGTTAGGTATGAAGGCTAGCAAGGATTATTCATATCTAAAACACATCTGATTGGTTTTTATCACCTTTTTTTTTTGTAACAAATAATCCTGTATGTAGTCATTCACCGTAATTGTGTTGATGACAGTAATAAGAAACATCATCAGCTCCTTTATTTAATTTTTAGATCAATTTTTTGCATTTCGTATTAAGTTCATATGTATGCTTCATGGATAAATTGTTATGTCCTGTTGCATTACTACTTTGCCTCACAAAGTAGAGCTGTAATTCTGACAACAATACAAATGCATAGTAATAACAGTAACTGGGAAAAAAAAAATTCATTTTAAATGACTTAACTCACCAAGCATAGTAGGATATATATCCACGAGAGACACTGCATTTGGTACTTGCTGCTGTTCTTTTACGCCTGGCCCCATAACTAAAAGAGGAACATGGGAACTTCCTTCATACATGCTCATTTTATAGAACTGCCGGTGTTCCATAGCAAGTTCTCCATGATCTGCAGTGAATATAACAATTGTGTTTTTAAGAAGCCCAGTATCTCTCAGAGCTGAAATAATCTCACCTGCAACAAGAAAAAGATACTGAAAAGGATACCTTGAAAATATTCCTTCCAACCTGCAAAGCAGCATGCAAACCCCGAGGAATCCTAGATGGAGGGTTGGAAACTCCTCTCTCTGCCACAGAAGGCAGAGCCCAAAGCACTCAGTCCAGAATAACATACAGTCGTCAACGAGTTGCAGGGGTCTGGCTCCCAATGAAGTGTGGAGGGCACTGAACAACAACCATAAAAATTTCAAAAGGCAAGGATTCACCACAGGACAAGCTGCAATTTTGCTATCATCACTTTTTTTTAATTTCTGGTGTAACTAGTAATAGTTATTGCAACAGCAGTAAAATAGGTCAGCAGAAACCCTGACACTACACATTTAGAGTGAAGGGCTCTTGACAGTATCTGCCTTACACATAATCAGTGGAAGTCTCTCCTTCCTGTGCCTATATCCCTACAGGAGTCCCTTGCACATACATTTGTGCAATGAAGACAGGGCCAAGACCAATGAAGTTGGTAATGAAGCGAAGCACTTACACATCTTTAATGTTTAAACACTAAGATGACTCTTGGTTAAACAAACTAGTTAAAAACTTAAAACATATTACTATGTCTTTTAAATTACTTTATCATTCTAACATTGTTAAAAAGATCAGCTTATTTATTAATGAATTTCATATTAGAATGCAAGGAAATTCTTGTTCTTTCATGATCACTTTTCAAATTAAGAAAAAATACCATAAATGAAGACCAATCTGCATTATAATTTTTATGTATGTAGACCCTACTGTAAACTAGGAAGAATTCTGAATGCCTAATTATGGGGTTTTTCTTCTTCTTCTTAACTTTCAATAATATGCTGCTAAGGCAGACTTCAAAGGTAACCTTACTATTTTGTCTATACATAAGAGCTGTCATCCAGTCTATGCATTTGAAATCAATCTCCAAGGAAACTGCTTATGCCCTAAAATTTATCTTTCCTTCCAGCTTTGCTTTGCTGGTCTGTCGCCTTCACAATTGTTTCCATTATTTCAGTTAGCACTTAATCAGAGTATTTAGTTCCTCTTGTACAAGGGTCACACAACGTTTTGCTGCAGTTACTGGGCTTTTACAGAGTCTCTGACCAGTGGCTGTGATTACTTTTCAGAGTGCTCTGAATTCACCTTGCAATAGCCTTAAAAGCTATCCAGTTTTTTATCATATAGACTGATTAAGCAACATCCATGTGACTCAACCCCAGATCTCAGTCATAGGGGTTCTTCTCCCAGAAGACCAGCCCTATCAGCATTTTCTTTAAAAAATCAGAACAAGAAAATCACTGTATAATGAAATATTACCTACCCAGCATGGCATCTGTCTCCGCACACATAGCGTAATAAAATGCTCTAATATTTCTCACTTCCTGCTTTGTAAACTCTCCTGTGCAATTCTTGGTGTAAGATGAGTAATAGTCTACCGGATGCATCTCTGAAAGAGAAGACCACTTGGGTATTTTAATAGCTTCATAAGCTACCTAAAAATAAGAGGAAATTAACATTAGTTTAGCAACTGAATTAAACTTTTTCTAAAAAAACAGATTTAATTTAAAACTTTTAGCATAAATTCACAGTTCTCAATATGTGGTCCAGGAAACACCAGCTGCTTATCTGTTACATGGTGCTGCTACCTCCTCTGTACTTCCTCTCTGCTTCCACAGGTATCAAGTAATTTTGAGAGCTATAAAAATCAGCCAGAACCTAAGGCTAGGAGCCAGAAATATGTGCTTTACCAGCTGATACCCTTTTTTAAGAGAGACACCGCAGAACAATCTTCTAGAACTGTACTCTACAGTAAATACAGAAGTATTGGCATAGAGTCTCATTAACTATAGGATGACTATACCATGGGTATCAAAAAGATCGCGTGTTATGTGAGCCTATAGAACAACACAGAAATGTACTTTGTCTGGTAAGGTCTCCAGGACAGTGGATGACAAATCTTGACATCTTGATAAAAAGAATTCACTGCATTAGTCCAATTTGCTAATACTTTTCTATTAGTTTCTACAGATGTCAATCCATTTAGTTAAAGAAGTGTAAAATCAGTCTGAAACTAAAAAGTAGGAGCCAATCAATTACAAATAATGCTGGATTTGTATATTCAAACTGGCATGCTTACAGATATTGTGCGCTGCAGTCACAGCTTTAGAGCCTCAAAAGTTTGACATACACATTTAGCTGAGACAGTCACACTTGTAAGCATTCCCTTAAGTGCTGCATTTAACAGTTAATTACTTCTATATCACAGACTTAAAGCACAAATTACCACAAAGCAGAGAATATGTAATCTCAGTATGGAAAACTCCATCCATGATTCATCAGAAGACTGAACACTTTTCTACAGGACTAAAACCTAGTTTTAAGGACTCACAAAGTTATAATCCCTGTCTGTCTGTCATAATTCATAGCTAAGAAAGAAGCCACACGCCCTGAAAAAGTGCCAGCTTGTGCAAAATACAGGGGACCATCTGCTTAGCAACAAAGGGTTTCATAAACATACCATGTTGATACTCCACTCTGTATAAGCTCCCCAGTAAACATATAATTTAATTCAAGATCTTCATCTATGCACTCAAACTTCTTCATGAGAATGATCTCTGTCAAAGACTGCTTCTTCCATAGCCAAAACACAGATACATTCCCAAAGAAGCAGGCAATGGTCAAGAAATGGTAATATGTGGTTCACATAACTGAGTATGCATATGTAGTGCTGGAAAGGACCTCGGCAAACTATGGAGTTTTAAGTACTCTAACTGCATTGAGGATGACAAAAATTTGTCAGAGATGTTATAACTCTCTCTGTGACTTGAAAAAAGGTACCCCCACTTCCCAAGACATGTCTAACCCAGCAATTAGCACCTAGAAGGTTCTCCTTAACATCCAAGCTCGATCTTACTTTTTGCAAATGAAGGGGTTTTTTTCCCCCCCTCTTCCTCTCCCCACAAACTTCTCACCATACCTGGAAGAAAAGAACCCACAGCCCTCACTATTACAAAGAAATTCACATCTCTCAACCTTCATTTGTATATCCTTTTTTCTAAGTCTTTGTATATTTGTTGCACCTAGGTAAAAAGACCAAACGAGTTACGTAAATTGCATACGGGTTTTTTTTGGAGTAAGTCTTTTCAAACCTAATTCTCAGTTTTTCAGCTGCAGACTCTTAACTTAATGCCTTTATGCAGCAAACACTCTTGTAACCCATTTACATTTTATGACAGATAATGGCACCTGGAGACCACACAAGACAAAGTGTTTACTACTTCTTTGGAATGGAGTACTATCTGTTAGCTTTCCACACATGGCCATAACAGGACTTTTCTGCACTCTGAAAACATTCAAAAGCTACAGTAGCACAGAAATAGGTTAACAGAAAAGAGAGACTTCTGCTGTGTCTTACTACTTCACATTCTAGGTCCATATTGTAGGAAATGTCAATCTCTCACTATAAAACTCAGACAGAATGATTACATATAGCATCATTCATGACAAGCACAATACAGAATTTTATAAACAATGAACTTCAGACCATTACTGAAAAAAAATTACAGCAAAGTATAGCAATGATTTCATTCTCCGTTTAATGTGTTTCTAGCCATTGAACTCCAAATTTCTTTATTGATTCAGTGACTACTGCTAACAAACCCTTCCCTACAACAGAAAGAAATTCTTCGCTTCTATTTGCTTATCCTTAAATCAGAAATCTAATTAATCTCATCCAAGTACCCTCCTACTATGTACTGAAATATACTGAAATACTGGGTCCGACTTGAAAAACTCATGAGGAATAAAATACTGTTCATAGTAAGTTCAGTTATAAATAAATTTACATTTAAATTTCATCTTCACATACCTTTTCAAGCCAATAGGGAGATGTTAAAAACGTAGAGGCTCCAAAATTTTCTCCCGCATAGGGTGATGGATATGGGTGTGGTAAATTTAGTCCCAAGTAAAGAACAAACGGTTGAGTAAGGTTAATGGCTTCTTCCTTTATCCAGTTTACTGCTTTATCAGTATTCTGCCAATCTGCTTCCATCACTCTCACATGCCTCCTATCACCAGTAAGATTTACCATGGGTCTCCCTTCTTGTCGGAGCAGGAAGTCAACATCCCTAGTCCAGGCTTCCACACGGTTACTGAAAATATATACGCAAGATACATACTGAGCGGAAAATGTTTTCTTCACTTTTCCTCCAAGTCAAAAGAATTAAGAATTCCTGAAGACCCTCTCCTATACTTGTAGCTGCAATCTAATTGTAATTGCTACATAAAGGGAGAATTGTTATTCAATTGATCGATAGCTGTTGTGCAGCAAAGCTTTAGCCATTTTTTTCTGCTTCTGAATCTTCCTTCTTATTTATTGTAACTTCATGTCAGAATGGTTCTTCTCACGTCTACAAAATAATATTTAGAAATAGCATCTCTGTTTTGTTGACCCTGCTCCCCATTCTGTCACGGATTCACATACTATTAATCTGGTAAAGTGGGTCTTAGATTTTTGTTATTTGAAAAAGTCCTGTGGGAAGTAACTTGCCTAGACAGGCTGCCTTTAGAAGCAATGTTCTGGTTTTGGGTTCTACTCTTACAACATTTTTAAACACTATCACGACAAAAATCTGTAAGAGTGATTTATCTTGTACAATTGCTTTTGATGTAGTTGATAAATGCTATCAAGAAAAGGGAGTAACAGAGGAGAAGGGTATAGAGAAAGCAAGAAGGGGGGGAAAAAAAAGACAACACTGTAATGATAAAATATTTTTGGAACAGATTTTCTAATATCGTGACAATTGTTCCCTCTCTAAAACACCGAGAAATCTGAGCTGCAGATGTCCTTGTTTCTTTGCCAGAGTGAATGACACCACAACTGCCATAGACAAGGGTTGGGAGGAAACAGCCCATTTAAGACTTGGACTAATCTTCATTTTGCTCATGGCAATTTCAATATAGCCAAAGAAATTATAGAAGAAAATAATGAAACTGCTCCAGGCTTGATCATGTACTTTAATCAAAACACAGCATTATTGTTGTTTAAAGAGCATCTAACCAGTTTTGTCCCTACAGGAATTTTACCAGTGCACTTTTAACCTCCAGAAAAACTATTGAGAATTATCTGTAACAACAAATTTTTTTGTTATTTTAACTCCTTGTTTAGGCTCACACTTTCAAGGTATGCAGGCTTAAACAAATTACTTAGAACAAACTGAGGTAGCTAGATGGCCTATAGAGAAAGCATGTTTCATAAACATTAAAATGAAGTGATAGTAAAGGGGTGTGTTGGTGGGTGCGTTAAATTGCATCTAAGATCAGCGTACTGACTTATATAGAAAAAATTATTATGTAGGCCACAGGGCCAGTCTGACTATCCAATCAGACTGAGGTTAGGATCAAGTTAAAATAACAAAAACAAACACCCTGGAACTCAAAAAAACCTGCCACAAATCCCACTTCAGACCCTTTCCACATTCTGGAGCAACAAAGGAGATATTTTTTGACACATTCAAGAGGAAAACTAATCCTCAGGCAGAAGAGAAGAAGATATGCCAAAATAAGAATCTTCAAAAAGCCAGGTGGAGAGTTGAAAAAGGGGGCAATACCAGATTAAAATCTTGAATTTAAAAGGAAAGAGCAAGGACTTGACAGATAATTATTTAAAAGCTTCATAAGTGGATTCCAATTTTCAACAGTTTCAATAGGAATGAAGGGGGATCATATCTCATATTATTAACCCAAGGGAAAGTAATTACTTGACAGTCAGTAACTACATCTATTTTAAAGTGAAGACGGCCACCAACATTCAAAAGGACACATGGAGCCTTTTTGACAGGAAGCAGTATTCCTGTATCTGGAATTATTCCAGATTCACGTATTCCAACCATCCAGAGGCTGAAGATCCAGCTCTTTCTCTCTGTTACTACGTATTTTTTGTATGTACTTCCTAGAAACCCTCTTCCTCAAATCTCATTAATTCACAGCTATAACTATCTTATGAGTAAGTCACATTCAAATAGATACTTAGTATATTTCGCTATGTATTTGTATTTTTAAGATATATAAACTTCTGTAGTTACAGAGATGATTTGTGTTAGCAATGCACTATTTGTGATAGGTTAGGACAATGCAGAATCAATTTATGTCACACCACTTAAATGTTGCAGCAGAAAAGTTAGCATTCTTTTTCTATTAGGTAAATATGGGATGTGGGAGCAGTGGTGGTTTTGTTGTTTAAAGAAACAACGTATGTGCTTAAGAAAATTTCTAAAGAGATAATACTGCCTGCTGAATCTTGCACTAGCTGAACTCTTCTAGATCCCTTCACTAGCCTCCTTTTTAACAAGAAATTAAAACAGCAGGACATTTTAGTTATCTCCACAATGCACAAGAACCTTTGTTACAACTCATCTACACTATTTATAGATTACTTAATTGGATACTTATGGTTTTTAAACGTCTACAGAGATGCCATGCTAGGAACGAGAGGAACTGTATTTGCAGTTTTCATTTTTTGAATTAAAAACTGTGTAAACTGCCATTTTCAAATTCCTCTTGTGTAGGCATAGAAAGGCTGACTAACCATTTGTTTACTCTCATTTATTCTCAACCCCTACCTGCACTTATTCAAATAACAGTAAGTGCTTGATTCTGTTAAGTACAGATCTCAAACTCTCACTGAAGGGAAAGTTAGAAAAAAAAATATCAAAAATTTGCACCAGGTGAAAATGTAGGATAAAGGCCTAGAACAAAAGATAATTAAAAACTGCAGCACCATAGTCTTCATAGTATTTTTCTGTTATCTTTGAAGTGCCTAAGAATTCAGCCTTGTGGGCGAAGAGCTATGCAATCATGATGTTATTATATGGTTGCATTGTAATTTCTGTTTGTGAGACTCGAATGCTATCACTAAAATAGATGAATCTATACATGGCAGAATGAGGAAAAAAAAATCAGAGTACGGTATTGTAACTCCACTGATACTGGTGCTGCTACAGTTTTGCAATACCCTGAATTGTCTTAATTTATTTCTCATCTCTGAAGACTTGTAACAAAAATATTTAGAATGGTATCAACATAACCATTCAAATGTGAGAGTAGCAGACAAAGTAAGTATCACAGCAAGGTTAAACCAATGGCGTGCATCAATAACCAAGAACATGAATGCCACCAGCAAAACAGGTCAGTACTGAGGAGGGGTCTGTCAGTGTTAAGGTCATTGTACAGATTACTTGTCAGCAGCATCCTGATAGCAGGGCGGCAACCAGGTCATCATGCAGTGTGTGCCATTCCTCTTCCTGTTATTCCAACAGAAAAATGGAACAGCCACAATAAGGAGACAAAAAGGCTATTTGCCTGATGCTCCTGAAGACTGACGTAAGCAAGATTTCAAGGCAAAGTATCACACCATAGCAACCTTTCACTCCTAAAGAGTGTAAAATACCTACGGAAAATGCCATTTCATCATTGCCAATCAACAGAAAAATAGGAAAGACCTCATCACATGACATCCCTTGCCCTATCACATGCCAGCAATCTTGTTCAGACTACTTGAGCATGAATCTCAGTATTTGTGAGTATGTTTGTGGGTATGAGATTGTGAGCTGGCACAGTTCACCAGCTTAGAAAGTTAAACAACATAAAATTGTGTTCATCTTCTATATAGTCTCAATTAAGGTTTTCTTTGCATTAATTCCTACACAATAAAATTTCTTTGAGAACTAAGGACTATCTGTTTGTTCAGCTTTGCACTCCCCAAGTGAAGGTCTTTGTACTGAAGCCAGAATTCACCTACGGTCTTCAGCTCAGGCAAATGAAAGCAAGACTTCTGGAATCCAGGCATTTATATGCAACCAGCCTTTTTCTCAGAGCCACCTTTGTGTTCCAGTTGTCATATGAACAGCCAGGAACTTCTGGAATTACTTAGAGCTGCTCTTCTTTAAACCTGGAGTACTTTAGAGATAAACAGATTTCAGTGTTATAAAACATTTCTTCTGTCTCAGTGAAGGGCAGGGTAAGTGCATACTATATACTGTTTAGACAACAGAATTTTCTCTGTGCAAAAGTGATTCAGAAGAAAAGTATAAGGGTCTGTATAATACTGCAGATAATTTTCATTTTTCAGAGTAATTTTGATGTACGGAAAATCTATTCAAGAAATGCTTAAGAATGATGCACTCACGGAATCATTGGTCTTGCTTCATTACATGAACAAAATCTGACCCTTTGCCTTCCCAAAGAATAGTCCGTTACTGGCACTTTACAGTATGCTGTTAAGATGACGCTCTTTTGAAAAGCATGAATGCCTAGGGCAGTCACAACAAACCATCTCTACACTACAATAATACAAACATCTGTAAGCATTCATCTTAAGGTTCAGTTGTTTCTTGCCAGGGAGGAAATTTTCCCAACATTCAGTAAGGAAGCACCAAGAATCAGAATAATACTATAGCAGATGACTTTTCAGTACATTGTACAAGTAATTTATTTCTTACTGGGGAAAAAAACAAAAAATTTTTAAGAATAGTAAGTCTTCAGAAAAAAAAATTTGAAGCAAAAGACCAGCGGCTGAACACCCATCTGTTCATAGTTAGATGCTAAGTTACTAAGAAGAGCTGCAGACAGAGACAAGAGAGAAGCATCAGTAGTACACAAATATGTATACTGTCTGGTAAAGTAAGTAAACATTAAGTTTTTGCTGTAAGTCAGTATTTGAATAATCTTTTACTTCCAATGTAGAACTGGTATATGGAAAAAGGGCAAAAAGCTTTCTTTTCTTTTTTGACAGTCTTAACTGCAGAGAAAGTGATTACTTTGGCCAGATTCTGAAGTGGACACTGTTTATAAAGTTATTTTGTAGATAAAAAGCAGCGTGTTCGTGCAACATACTATTAAGTACTAATGTAGTTAACTTTAACTTCCAATTGTTCATTTTAGTGAGGGAAGTGAGGAAATTTTAAGTAACTCTAACCTGTTTAATACCAAAAAAAAGCTACTCTATTATTATTTCAAAAATGGACATAATTATTAATCAGGGATATGGTACATCTTCATAAAAACTACACAGAAGGAAGACACCGTCTTTTGTCCCAACTGACCAGACACATTATGCTTATTATTTTTTGAACATAATGCAGTTAGTCTCTAAATGTTTAATTATTTTTCATAAATTGCTGTAGTCACAGGTTTTTTTACAGCATAGGAAGTAGAGCACAAGTCTGTGAAAACATATGGCCTTCAAAAAAAAAAAAACACCTCATGGTTTGTGATGGTAGATTTAATATTCAAGTATTATCAAATACGTTTTTGTTCTGCTTTTCCTACACTGCTAGTATAATCAAGCCAGTAAGTCTCAAGGCAAGGCAAAAGTGGTTTATGAATTTCACTTGGGGAGCGATACCAGTGAGCAAAAATAACATTCATTCATGTTGGGCAAAACCACAGTCTTACCTTCCAGCTACAGATAAAAGCCAAAGTGCATCTGCATGGGATATGCTCACTTCTGCATAAAATTGCAGGACAGACCCCTGCTAGGTTCGTAAGACAGTTTCTTTTACATTTAAGCTAATCCCTTTTCAATCAGAGACAGAAACCACCTGCTAGACCATTACATGATTTATTCACTCCTGTCCATTTCATAGCAGCAGAATCTGATTACCTTACTGAATGATGTCCAGAAGTATAGTCCAATTTCCCATACTTCTGTGTGCGGTAGCCATGCTTCTCCATGAGATCCATCCATGTTACATAATCTGGATCTAGACCTCTGAAGTTATTCCAAGATTCTGTTAAATGAGTGAAAAGACCACTCCACATAGCTGGGGAGGAAAAAAAAACCAAAAGAGATACGGTTTTTGATGAGTAAGTGGTACTTCCTGTCTAAATGTTAAGTTGAATATACTTGAGAACAGATCAATCTTCTCATTATTTTAGAGGTAAAAAGTCCACATTGTCATTCAATAGAGCAGGGAATACAAACTACTACTCTTCCAAATCTTATTTTCATCATCAATACGAATAACAACTTTTACTAAAATAATCCCCAGAATCAGAGAAGGTCCCATCTTTCCAGGTGCTAAGCAATCATTAAATCAAGGTTTTCTGTAGATCAGAAAATATTTTTACTGATTGCAGAAAGAAAATACCATGGTAGTACAGATCCTGATGAAACAGTCATGTATTTACATGTGTTCCAGTGTATTATCTCCCCTTACTTGAGTTAGATTTTAATGTGAATTTAAAGTTCAGTATGTTTGTGGAGGGAATTAGAGTACATTGTTTTTATAAATACTGTATGCTCTCGGTTTTATCCTTTTCAGGTAATCTACTTCACTACCAGCTGTAGAAACAAAGTGAGATCATTAAAGAGGCCAAGAAGAAATGAAACCAAGGGCAGAGATGCAAAGGAACTATCAGGAAAGTTTTTATTAGTGAATTCCTGTGTTTCTTTGCAGCTGGTTGAGAGTCATTCACTCTTCCCAACACTAATTTAGAGTCAAAGGAAGTCTTAAAACAAAACTAAGCTGTTCTACAAGCAATGGAAAGTGTGTCAACCCCACCACCACACCATGGTGATACTCCTACTTTCCCCACCCCAAAGTCCTCCTTCCCACCATCTCTTCTAGTATCATCCCTGACACCTCCACAATAGATGTACCCTCAGTTCCTTGCAGGTCTCCAGGCTATTGGCTAAACAAGAGATGTCCCAGTGGTTCAGGGCTACACTTGTGATGACTGACCAGTGGTCATGATGACATTGATGGACCACCTAAAACGCTAAACAGAATGAATGAACTGTTGAATTCATCATGCAGCCTCTTCCTCACTAGCTGCTATTTTCACAAAACTTAAAATTAAATAACCTAACACAAGGTTATTGTTCTCAGCAACAGTGGCTAGCTGAAAGACTCAAAAAATCGAGAAAAAGAAAAGATTGACGGCATGTTCATGTAATCTCACTCACTTAAAATGTGACCTTGAGAAACAGAAAAACAGACTAGATTATCCATACTAAACACTAACACTAGATTTGACAGCCTGTGCCTGCTGCAGTCAGGACAGGTTGCTTCTTCCAATGTATGCTTGAGAAAAAGGGGGATCTCCCTATCAGCTATAAGTGAAATTTCATTTACATCACCTCTGGAGGGTCTTTGCAACAATTGAAAGGGCTAGAAATGTTTTAAGACATATTTTAACCTTTGATTCAAGAATATAGCTTCCTTCTAACTTCCCAGCAAATTCTGCAAGTGCAAAATTGAACACAGGACAATGATTGCAGCAAGTAAAGAAAAGTACTGAAGTATTGAACTAAAGTCACTGAAGGATACTTTATGTATTTAACAGAGTGTTTGTAATAAATGTCATTGGAAGGCAGTGCTAACAGCCACCGATTCATTCAGCTGTTGTTATTTAATACTTTTTCCTGAGAAGAGGAAAGAGATTTATTAACTTTGTATTGGGAAGGGAAACTAGTTCTGAATGCAGCTTCAGCACTGCAGCAGACAAACTGACAATTTCTCTACAAATACTGAAGATTTTTAAAAAATACAGAAGCTCCAGTGGAGTTTGTGAAAAGATTTGGGAGCTCATACATAGCTGGAAAAAGAACAAAAAAAAGAAAGAAAGAAGCATGATAAACAGAAAAGAGAAACAGATCAAACACGAGAATACTGTATAAATTCAGACACAAACTAAAAAAATTGTGTCTTATTGAAAAAAAAAATCCCCCAAAATTAAATCCTTTGAAATTTCCCATCATTACCACATATTTAAATTGACATATGCAAGTACTTATCTGATGTTTAGCTTGGTCCTACCTGCGCGGGAAGGACAACAGATTGGAGAATTGGTATAGGCATTGAGAAAGACAGTGCCATATCTTTTCATAAAATTTATGAAAGGCAAATCCACAGTCTGGTTTCCTGGATAAAATGTCAAGCGTCCATCCTGCAATCAAACAGAGAAAAACAGTATAAAACCAGCATTAACACAAACTATTGGCTGCATTAATTCATAGATTTGTTACCTTGAACTTGTATTACTCAAATGCTGCCAATTCTACTCAAGTAGAACTCTACTCTTCAATAGAAAATATTCAACTGAACAACCACTTTGATCCTTCTGAATCGTAACCAAAAATCAGCAGATATGACCAACAGTGAATCAGGGGGGTTACTTTCTCTTAATACTGAATATCTAGTTTTATTCAACTAATAAAAACTCCATGACTACTTCAAATGGAGACCTTTGATCATCTACTTCAAAATGTAGAGAACAGGCACAGTCTCCAGGGACACAGGACCAAGGCCTTACTTTCTGTGAAATTTCACCTTTAAATAATGGAACATTCAAAACAGGTACAAATACTTCTCAGGCATCTGAGTCGCAGTGAAAACTCCACGGGATAAGAGAAAATGCTATAAGCTTAGAACGAAACAGATAGATGGATGCATGGGTTCTGAGAACAGCTAGCCTCTACAGTTTTAATTAAGAAAATGCATTTTTTTAAAGACTGTATTTGTTTTGAAAATAACTGTTTGAAACAAACATTGTATTTAACGTAATATTCTCCTGTATGAAACATTAGACAGGCTTACATGGAAAGAACAATAGTTTCTTTCTGTCTTCAGCATTTAAGAATACAGATCAGACAAAGTAAGACTTCCTATCAATTTCATACTATGCTGTTTCTGCACATTAGCAGACATGTTTCTGAATTTTCACTTTAGTTTTACTAGTTTAGTTTTCTGGAACAATTTGTGAGAGGACAAAAAAACCACCACCAAAGATACAGGAGAGTGAACTGGAAGAATTTACAGCCTGTGGAAGAATTTACAGCCTGTGTTACTACTTTTCCATTACCCACAACTCCCCAGTGATAGGCACTAATTGTCAAGGGAAAATTTACAAAGAATACTGCACATAATCAGCGTTTGCAACATTTCAGAAAGAACCCAGAAAACACAGTTAAGCACAGCATAATTGTGCTCCACAGTAGAAAATAGTTCTTACAAATTACTGAAATATTTTAAGATTATAATTATTCTGTCATTGTTTAAAATACTTTAACCTTACAGCATGAGTACTTCATTACCTCACTAGCCACTCATACGTTGCTCATATTCTAAGTCCACAGTCAGAGACTAACGTCACTTTCTTCACCCTTTAGAGCTCAACACAGAGACTGCATGCAGAAGAAAACTATTCCCTCCATTTGTTTTCTGGCAGAAAATGCCATTGGATAACATAGCATTGTAGAGAGAATCACTTATTTTGGCACCAGGAGAGTGAACTGTGGCATCCCAGCATCGTATCGCAGTGGACAACTACACAGTAAACCAGGCCACTGGAGATCAGAATGTGATACAAGACTGATCACCTAAGTTTGTACACTACTACAAATGGCAACTAGAACAAGCATTTGGTAGGACAAACTGGAAACAAAGCTGTAATCTGCAATACGAACCTGAAAGAAACTTTGGGCTGAAAGTGCTCTTTAGAAAGTACATGACTGATGGGTCATCCTGTCAACAACATATTCACGAGTTTCTCCAACAAAGATACTGTTTCTTTGAACAGCTGGAGACAAGAGCTCATTCTTTTGATACTGGACAAACAGGTGACATGTCTATTCAGTGAAAGAAGTAAGCTTCTTTAACAGGCTGAGAAGGTGAAAGAGGATTTCTGGAAGTCTGCTCTCCAAGAACTGTGTAACACTTGCAGGCTTTGAAGTGCCTGAGACAATACAATTACTCTGAGTAACACAAGCAAGCACATTTCACCCAGGAACTTGAGCTGCATTGCAAGCAAAGCCTGTCATCACTCAGTTAACCTCAAGTAGCAGTTTAGGAGCTGAACTGACTACTAGCACATTCCACCAGCAAGCCCTGTAAGAAGCACAGCGCTTGATGTGACACAACAGCAGAAAGCTGGCTGTTCAAGCAACAGGTCACTGCTCTGGGAGCCAAATACAGTCCAGCATCACTGACAAGAAAACTTTTGTCACAGCTGACAAAACAGGGGTGAGTCTTTTGTAGATAGCATCACCCAGGACAAAGGCAGGAACACTTTCAAATGAAAGCCCATCCCTTTTGACAGCCTGCAGGACTTAATCTTTTTTTCCCAAAAAAACTGTTAGTTTCAACAGTACCCAACTCTTCCTGTTCTCTACTAGTGACATAATCAAAATGGTTAATCTAGTTCTGCCTTCAAATCCATCTCATAAAAAAATTTACACAACAATTCTTTTAATGTATTCTTCTTCATATGCGCTATGCAAATATACTTTTCAGAAACAGCACCTTATTTTTAATTGTTTTATAAAGAACACCACAAACATCTGGGTTTTGTCCTTCATTCTTGTAAGGGCTACTTCACTAATCCCTGTAAGATAGCCATGAGAACCTTCCTGTTTACAGGACATACAAAAGCCTTACTAAGATTTGTCTGCAGCTTCTGCTAGCATCTGGAGACAAAAAGGCCATTAATGAACTCCCAGAACCTAAACTATTATAAATTTGGCATTTTAATCCTAAGTTTTAGTACAAGCTGAAAATTTGGAGAAAAATTTCTCATCTACAAAAACCACACATTACTTTGGAATGTTGAGAGATGATATTCTCAAAACAAAATAAAGAATACACTCAGAAGGAAAGTAAATAAGGAGCTATTGCTTTGTGTTTGAAATCATAGCAAACACATTTTAAGAAAGTTTGAAGAAGGATAATACATGTTTAACAATTACTTAGGAAGAACTCATCCTAAGAATGACAGGCAGCAGGCAAGTCAAGTGCTCTTACCTGTGCAGTCAAGGATGGCATTCTGAGATGGCTGGGAGCCAAGTGTTGATTTCTCAACAGTGAATGAGAAGTGATGAGATGTGAAAGCCCTTGGAAGTACTAGCATGGAGCTTATGTTTGATTTAACAGAAGGGAGAGCTCATATGAGGCAGAGAAACTAAGGCTTCCCCTTTCCTCAAAGTAAAACCTTAGTAACAGCATTTCCAGTATGCCAAGTGGGCAGACAAAAGCATGGTGAGACAAGGGAAAAAATGTGCTGTCTTTAGCTGTAAGCAAGGAAACACACTTAGTATTTGTGAATAGGGGGAAAAAGTCTTTTCTACCTGTTTGGGGGTTAAAACAAGTATGTCAACAAAACACTGTTATAAGGCCAGTAGAAATTTATAGAAACATATCTACAGGTTCCTTTATCCTTTTACCTGTAGACACTCATCCGACAAGTTTATTCTAATAGTTACACCTAATAAAGTGTAACTTTTAAAGTAACTTTTAAAGTCCGAGTAAGTCAATATATGATGCCCAACAGCTTAACTCAGTCATTTCATCTGTTATTACAGAAATTCTCCGTTTCATCTGTTGTGGATGTTACCTGAAATAAGACTCTCGAAACTAATCCAATTTAGAGAGGAGATACTGCTTTATTCGGCGTCGCGTGCAAGGTGGCATATTTCCACAAATCAAGCACACCAATGAATAACTTCTGCAGTATTTATACATGCAGCTACATGCAATACGCCTATCTAATACATATTCATTACCAAGTTATTATTTTTATTGACAAATCTTTGTTAGTCAGCAAGTCCTTCTGGGCATGTCTGGGGGTCTCTGGTGGTCTTCATTGGTCATGGGCAGTAGGAGACCCTTCCTCTGATTGTCCTTTTAAGGTATCAAGTCTTTTCAGGACACCAACTCTGCTGACTTCATATTTGCCAAGTTCTTAAAGAGGCTTTGTTGTTTCATTTAAATACTTATTTGATGTTTGGGAAGTCTTTGAAGTGATTAGTTACCTAGCTTGAAGATTATGTTGTCTCTTTGACAAGTATCAGCCTACTTCCTACTTCCCTAATAAGCTTCTACATATGTATACATCACATGTATCATAAGAGTTCACATAACAGTCAAGTAACATATGAGTTTCATCATAAGATTTGTCTGTTTTAGGCTACATGGAGACCTAACGTTCTCAGGGTTTACAATGGCAAGAACAACACGGCTTACTAATATTCCTTTCCTTTTTGCTTTTCAAGCCACAAGAACAGCATTCATTCTGCACACCAGGTCTGTTCCACTAATTGCTGCCCTGCCCCACAGTCCTGCAGACATGGCCCCATCCACCATAAGCTGCAGTGACAAGCTGTACATGCCATAGCTATTCATGGGAACCACCTGTGCAGAAGCTTCTGATTATTGTAGTTTGCCTAATGAAAAGCATTGGAACAGGCTGCCCAGAGAGGTGGTGGAGTCACCATCCCTGGAGAGGTTCAGAAAACATGTAGATGTGGCACTTTGGGACATGGTTTAGTAGGCATGGTGATGCTGGGTTCATGGTTGGACTGATGATCTTAGAGGTCCTTTTCAACCTTAATGACTCTATTCTAGATCTCTTTCATGAAAAAATAATCCAGCCATCAAGCCAGAAAACATGAAATTAATTATTACTCTACCCTTAATTGGTTTAGTGGTGAACTTGGTAGTATTAGGCTAATGGTTGGACTTGATGATCTTAAAGGTTTTTTCCAACCTAAACAATTCTGATTCTAAAATATGTAGCACACTCCTAGAAAGAAAGACGAGTTTGGTTTAGATAACAAGAGTTATCCAGTGTCTCGGCGACACGGGAGGCCTGCCCTCTTCATCCCAAATAAGCCCTCCATCCCGTGGAGGTGGGGAATAAAAAACAGCCCTATCTTCGCGGGCCTGTGGTTGTAGCCCGGGCGCAGC